GGCTTCTACGAATTTTCTCAAGTGCTCAATTGTAAATATTAGGTCTTTTTGTATAGGTCATGTTTTTTTCTCTATACCTCATGTCTTTCTGTGTAGCTCGTGTCTTTTTGCATAGCTCATGTCTTTGTTTTGTTCATGTCTATTCGGTTCCGATATTTACTAGAGTTTACATCTCACTAACCTGCCGATATGTTTCTTCAGCGAGGGCACCACACCTTCATATTCGAACTTCAGTCTGACGTATGTTGCTAAGAAAATGTTCCTTTTTCCCCCATCTGTATTTACCTGTTGGCCTCCATCTTTCTCATGGCCTCGATGGGGACAGAAGGTCAGCGAATTGTCAAAGGTCCTCTCATTGTTCCTGAGCAAATTTTTCCAGCTGAATTTTGAACTGAAGTATTGTCTTGGAATTTACGACTTCGGCGGGTAGGCGGTTCCATGGAATTATAACTTTATGGGTGATTAAAGCTTGTAAAACTTAATGCACTTCTTGTTTTAATTTAGACACAAGTTTTTTCTTTCACTGATTTTTTTTCACTTTCACTTCTCTTTCTTTCAGAGTATCTAACTCCATCTTGTATTCCACATGGCATGTTGACCCCAACATGAATTCACCAACATGAATTTAATTATTAGCATAATTATTGATTATGTCTCGTTCAGATGAATATTTTGACACTCGGAAAGCTGCCATATTACCATTGATACATAGTCTTCCAGACATGGCGCCTTCTTTTCATAATGACCTCTCAAAAAAATTAATCGACTCGAATTCACACCCTATTTATTGGGCTACTTGGAGCCACTATCATCAGCGGCGGCTGCGACGGGTCAGGAAGCCTTTTGCGGCTTGTCAAGGCCTTCCTCTTTCCCAATTACTTATTAATTTAAAACTTGATATGCTGTACAAATTATCTATTTCATGCTGTTGCCGGAAATTCAGATTGGAACGTTAATTCAGTCAGATTAGCTGCTTGAATTATACATGTATTATACATGAATTATACATGAATTATATATATGTATGCAGATTTGGTTATACATGTAGCAACCACGCACCGCAGGCACCGTCGTCACTGCCCAAGACATCGTACTTCAAGATGGTGGACGTGTGGCTGCTATCGTGCATCGCTATCATCTTCCTTGTCGTCATCTTCCACGCCGTCATCGACAGCTACTACAGGAAGCAACAAGAAGGCGCTGCCCTGGGGGCGTCCCGGGTCCTTAAGGTCGTCCCTAAGGGCGGCAGCAGCTGGCTTCCTCCCTCCTCCTCCAAGCAGGAGTCAGAAGTGAGGCTGGAGCGTCTGGTCATGACTGCCAGGATCACCATCCCCCTCATATTTGTGGGTTTCCTCATAATCTACAGTGTGTATATCTTGATTCATTGAGGTGATGAGTTGTGAGGCCTCGTGGCTTGGTGTGAAGCCTCGTGGCTTGGTGTGAGGCCGCTCAGGAGAGGGGAGACTTTACAAGATTTAAATAACAGTGAATGATATCGTGTAGATTCCTTGTAATTATTTATTTTGAATAGCCCCCAAAACCTATTTGTATATCTGTGCCTCAGTGTGTCTTTGTAGTTATTTCATGAAAATAGTCTCGCAAATCATTGGTAAAATATCTTTAGCAATGGTGTTTTATAAGATAGTGTCTGCGTGACGATAACGTTCAGGCGACATTGGTGACCATGGCTTGTAGATGGCATTGATTGTTCGTCGTGGCGTGACGTGACGGTGACTTCCAGGCGACATTGATCACTACTCATGATCTTACATGACAGTGACTTGTAGATGACATTGATCGCTTGCCGCGACCTGACGTGACGGTGACTGGTAGATGACACAGTATGTCTGTCATAAACACACGAGTGTCAATGTGGAGGAAATCAGCAGAACGTGACAGCGACATCAATTACACAATAAAACTATCACAGGGAAAATATAGCGTTTATTGCACCAACATCTGGAGCTGTTGTGACGACTCCAACACACTCTACATCGTCTGTATCCTCACAGTAAGATATAATGTATGTATAAATGTAAACAATACGTTAGTATATTTCTATCTACATAATAAGGTAATTGTACACTAACATTGATGTAGCTACAATAAGATATTATTGTCTATACACACACAATATTATTTATATATATATATATATATATATATATATATATATATATATATATATATATATATATATATATATATATATATGGGGGTGGTAGGAGAAGATAATATTAGTGTTCAGTGAGAAACCACAAGGTCTCCTCTGAATACTTTTTATTTTCTTCTCCGATGCTATGGGTCCCCACATTGGCACCAGAGGTGGTACCCTCACAAACTTATATATAATATATATATATATATATATATATATATATATATATATATATATATATATATATATATATATATATATATATATATATATATATATATATATATATATATTATATATATATATATATATATATATATATATATATATATATATATATATTATATATATATATGTGTGTGTCAACTACACTAATAGTGGAAATAAAAATGTTCATTCACTTAGGTGTTATAGGAGACTCGAATATAAACAGCACAGAACACAGGTTAAGACATTTTTAACATGAATAAAGATTCACAAAGACAATAAATATTATGTATGAATTTACTGAGCAAAAAATTAACAAATGGGTATTCTCCAACTATTTTAAGTAACAGTTTATTTTGTATGTTAGTTTGATTCGTATTAAAACATTTGTTAGTCATTACCGTTGTTTCTGTATCGTTGAGTTATCAGTGTGAGTTGACTATGAGTTCATAGTGAGTTCAAGTTGTGAGTTCATCAATGTGCAACTTATCTCAGTTAATTTGGAGTCGGGAGTCCTACTGAAAGAGGACCGCCCGGCCGAGCACTTCCAAGATGACGAGGTCCTGGTGGCAGCCCCTCGCGCCAGTCTTCTGAGTACAGTGCTTCAGACAGTGTACTGTGAGGCCTTGGCTTGCGAGGTAGCGAACAGGAACTCTCTCTCAACGTTCTGGTCGGAGAACTGGCTCCGAAGAAATGGTAATATAGCCAGGATACGCCTCAGAACACTGAAAACCTCTCGGTAAAGACTCTGCTCGACGGCGCTTGCTAGGCAATAGGCTTGCTTCGGGCGAAGGGAACCGGTTCCCTCACTAGAGTTGCTACTGGATCTTTTTATGTAGTCAATTATTTCTGAGTTAAAAAATTTCTGCCGCGTTCTCTTTTAGAAATGCATAAATATTTAGGCAACATTCCTTGATGTGATGTTAATATAGCGTCTCATATTCTGGGTTGAACACACAGTAAGGAAGCGCGACATTTGAGTATAGCCTAGTGAGCCTCCGGCGATGGCGCCGTCTTATACGTCAGATTAAATAATATACTGCACTTAGCGCCACGAATGAAATCCAACTCATTGCATTACATAACACCACCCAGAGAATGAGTGCTAGTGATAAACACAGCATTACTGCAAATATCAATAGTTGTAACATAAGTTTGGAGACAAGGGTAAGGGAGATAATTATCGTAGTTGGCCGCCAGCCCGTCCTCCTAAGGTTTCCCCAACGTCAAGAAAACGATCAATTTAAAGTGTCCTCTCTCCTATCCTACCAGAGGACCCAAAACAGAAAACGGGACAACAAAAAACTTTCTCCAGCCGCTTCCACATTTTCTAGTACGACAATTTTTGGCCTTGTGTAACGCATACGATCGAAAAGCGGCGTTCTTTGTAGGAGGACAGGTTGGTTAGTGATCATAATATGGGAGCCCTCCCATATTATGAGGCCCCTGCTTCAGGGGCCTCGATGGCCCCCCCCCCCATACGGAGCAGAATAACCCACAATGCACTCTGCTCCTCTACCAGTGCAACCCGTTCTCGCACTTTCGTATAGTCAATATTGACTTATTAAATGCGTGCATATGTGACATACTAAACATACTAGTTTACCTTGAAAAGCTTCATAGAAAACACCGACCTTACCTAACCTTCTTAGTATGTTAAGATAAGCATCTTATTGCTTCGTAATTACAATTATTACTTAGCCTATTATAGGTATAGGTTAAGTAATAATTGATAAAAATTGATAAATAATTGATAAAAAAGTAATAATACCAGTGTCATATGTATTAACTTGTACAATTTAATTAACCTAATTTATAGGTATTAAATTTGAATGAAATTATTATTCCAATAAAAGAGTGGAATACATTTTCCACATTCATCGTGTCTGTCAGTGCGGTGAGCCGGATGGGATGATGGTGGTGGCAGACTTAAACAATAACAAGGAAGAGGTACTTTGACCGAAATGTCAGAGTAACAAGGTTATCGCGATACCCCGAACTCTTTTTACGGGCTCACCATAGCCCGTGCTACATGGACATTTCGTTCTGAGTAGCTAAATCTAAAACAACAACAACAACAAGGAAGAGGTGAGTGATCGACACTAACTTAGTCAGACCTAAGTTATTGCCACGTTATGGCTAGTTAGTATATCCTTCTGACATCTTAGTTACAACTTACAGACTACCTGTGAAAGGAAGTTCCCGTCCGGCAGTAACTTAGTTACAAACAGTTACTATTCCATGCTAACTTAGTTACAGAGCATTAGTATTCTATACTGTGTTACTATTCCATACTAACTTATCTACTGAGCGTTACTATACCATACTAAATTAGAATTAATTATTAATAAATCAGTATTAATTATGAGAGGTAACCTCGCAACAATAACTTCAGTACATTTAACAAACAATAACTTGGTTGAACAAACAATAACATTACAATAACCTCTTATAAACACACAACAAATTACAGGCAGCTACAGAGCTCCAATAATCTTAAGGAACCAGGCCAATTTCCTTGCTAAACTCTGCTATAACTGGTCTGCCTTAAATGGGAAACCCCACCACACGTCCACCCTTGCAATAACCGATTCAGACTCCACAATCCCACCTCACAACTCCCTACAACCCCCCCCCCCCCCCCCCCACCCCTGCAATAATCAACAGCAATCACAGCTACACTACATTAACAAGCCAGCGTTCAGTGCGGGGCCGGCGTGGTTGTGATCCACTCCACAATGGGGCCATAGTTGGTGTCCAACCACTGGACGTTGTTGGCCACCATCTCCAGGGCCTGGTCCATCACCATCGCCACCGACGTTAGACTGTCTGTGTGCTGCACCTTGAAGGCCTGAAGCTGTAGGGAAGAGTAGAGTAGAGACACGTTATCACTTTTGTTATCACAATTAGGTGAGTACTTGAGGAGATTAAGACTCTTAGACTCTAAAAAGAACACAGACAGCGTTCACGTAGTATTATAATACTCTTCATCCGGACCCGGGATCGAACCCTGGTCTTCAGGAGTGAGAGTCAGGTACACCGTGGTCTTCTACATCGTAAACGACGTTAACGTGTTGTAAACATGTTTGGAATGGAAGTGACTGTGGAAGGTGGGGGGGGGAGCGTGGGCCCAAATTGTGCATAATCTCATTAAACAAATTATCATGAGTGCCCGTGGGAATGTTGACACGCAGATTAGAATTGTTGTCATTTTTTAATTTGACTATTCTTTTATGGACAAAACCCTCCCACAGGCCCATACTGGAGCCCATCCACCGGAAGTGTCCTGCCACGAGCAGAGAGAGAGAGAGAGAGAGAGAGAGAGATGGAAACTGTATGAGATAATTACGTCAAAATAAAAAAATATATGTAAACTTAATACTTTCCCCCCTTAACCCTTCAAAATTGTGATGGTAATTTTTGTCCATGAGATTTTATGGTATGTGCGTTGATGAATCGACTATATGTGTACGACTATATGTGTAGTGTTTTTATTGTATTATTAGTGATATTAGAGAGAGTGGAGGAGAAGAGGGGGGAGAGAGACAAGAGAGGGGGAGGGAGAGAAGAGAGGGGGAGGGAGAGAAGAGAGGGGGAGGGAGAGAAGAGAGGGGGAGGGAGAGAAGAGAGGGGGGGGGAGGGTGGTAGAGACAGATAGACTCGTTCACAACCTCTTGAGCAACCCTTCAAGTATTTTTCTATATCTATCACTGGAAATACCCGTGTTTCGTTCTGTCTATCAGTTCCAGGGTGCCGGCCAGATGCTTTGATTTGGTTTCACCCTATGTTTTTCCCAGTAGTTGTTGTCGGGTGCGTGTCAAACAAGGGCTGGTCGGGAGTGGCATCAATGAAAAGAGTGACACATGGCACTGTGCCAACGTCACCCCCTCACGGAATATCGTGCAATACTATAATGATTCCATTCTGAATTATTATTATTAATTATTATTATTATTATTATTATTATTATTATTATTAACATTTAGTAAACTTTATTGTAAAAAATGTTACTTTTAAGCTAAATTAAAAAAAAATTCTTATCATAATGCTTATATTATTTAAGCCCCAAAACATTGAAGACAAGAATGTTTCTGTCAGACTTTATGGAATGAGTTGATGACTGGTTGACAACTCTTCATAATGCAGGGAACGGTCGCCAGTGCAGGATGCTGGTCGCGTGCTCCTGTACGACCAACCATCCTGCCAGAGGGGGATATTTTTGAGGGAGTGAGATGGGGGAAGGGAAGGATGCAGAAGGACCCGGGCGCTACCGGTTACCCTTTTGTGGTGTGTGTAATTACCTAAGTGTAATTGCCTAAGTGTAGTTACAGGATGAGAGCTACGCTCGTGGTGTCCCGTCTTCCCAGCACTCTTTGTCATATAAAGCTTTGAAACTACTGACGGTCTTGGCCTCCACCACCTTCTCACCTAACTTGTTCCAACCGTCTACCACTCTGTTTGCGAAAGTGAATTTTCTTATATTTCTTCGGCATCTGTGTTTAAATCTATGACCTCTTGTTCTTAAAGTTCCAGGTCTCAGGAAATCTTCCTGTGTGTACTCACCTAATTGTACTCACCTAATTGTGCTTGCGGGGGTTGAGCTCTGGCTCTTTGGTCCCGCCTCTCAACCGTCAATCAACTGGTGTACAGATTCCTGAGCCTATTGGGCTCTATCATATCTACATATGAAACTGTGAATGGAGTCAGCCTCCACCACATCACTTCCTAATGCATTCCATTTGCTAACTACTCTGACACTGAAAAAGTTCTTTCTAACGTCTCTGTGGCTCATTTGGGTACTCAGCTTCCACCTGTGTCCCCTTGTTCGCGTCCCACCAGTGTTGAAAAGTTCATCCTTGTTTACCCGGTCGATTCCCCTGAGGATTTTGTAGGTTGTGAACATGCTGTGTGTGTGTGTGTGTGTGTGTGTGTATAATACTATAGAAATGAGAGAAGCGCCTCACCTCCTCCAGCTCCGAGTGTGTCTTGAGTGCCTCGGTGGCTCGCTTGATGAAGTTCTTATTACTCATCCCCACGGTACTGAAGATAAACAGTAAGACAACCATTAACCAATAATACTTAAGACATTTGATTCATTTGTTATTGAGTCGTCATATTCAAAGTTCGAAAAATAATGTAATTTTGAGAATTAAAATGGAATGTAAATACTTCGAAGTGTCTAGATTAGTAATGTAAGTTTGTTTGTTTTTATTTTTACAATAAAACTCTTACTACTTCAAATACGGCTACCACCTCCAACAACAACACCAGCACCCACCACCTCCAACAACAACAACAGCACCCACCACCTCCAACAACAACAACACCCACCACCACCACCTTCAACAACACCCACCACCACCACCTCCAACAACAACACCCACCACCACCACCTCCAACAACAACACCCACCACCACCACCAACAACAACACCCACCACCACCACCTCCAACAACACCCACCACCACCACCTCCAACAACAACACCCACCACCACCTCCAACAACAACACCCACCACCACCACCTCCAACAACAACACCCACCACCACCACCTCCAACAACAACAACACCCACCACCACCACCTCCAACAACAACATCCACCACCTCCAACAAACCACCACCACCACCACCTCCAACAACAACAACACCCACCACCACCACCCACCACCACCTCCAACAACAACAACACCCACCACCACCACCCACCACCACCTCCAACAACAACAACACCCACCACCACCACCTCCAACAACACCCACCACCAACACCCACCACCACCAACAACACCCACCACCTCCAACAACACCCACCACCACCACCAACACCCACCACCACCACCACCTCCAACAACACCCACCATTACCACCACCACCAACAGCACCCACCACCACCACCTCCAACAACAGCACCCACCACCACCACCTCCAACAACAGCACCCACCACCACCACCTCCAACAACAACAACCACCACCACCACCTCCAACAACAACACCCACCACCACCACCTCCAACAACAACACCCACCACCACCACCTCCAACAACAACACCCACCACCACCACCACCACCACCACCAACACCCACCACCACCAACAACACCCACCACCACCAACAACAACCACCAACACCACCACCACCAACACCCACCAACCACCAACAACAACAACACCCACCAACAACACCTACCTTTCCTTAATATGGTGCCAATTGTTCCTGAAGTAGTCCCAGACGAGGTGTTGTCCCAGGGGGTTTCTGGCGACGGAGGAGAACGCTCTGCTCGTCTCACTCTTCTTAATGCCTCCAGCCCCGCTGAACACCATCTCCAGGAACCTGACGCAGGAAGGGAACACCCGCTCACAACCTCTCCTGCAGGCCCTAGAGACACGCTCTCTCTTCCTACTCACACTGCGCTTATATTCACCCTTCTTCATGCACCTTTATTCACCGTTGTATCTACTATTCACTCTTTGCAAATCTTAGTCTTATTCCTCTTTAATCTCCTTATCCAGCTGCTTTTCCTTTAGTTAATATTTCCCCTGACCTTATTCCTCTGTGCTCCTTCCCTATGCCTCTCAGCGGACTGTATCAGGTACCCATTCACTGCGTCAGGAGCCAGACAACACGTGACCATTCACTGCGTCAGGAGCCAGACAACACGTGACTATTCCCTGCGTCAGGAGCCAGACAACACGTGACCATTCACTGCGTCAGGATCCAGATAACAACAGATAACACCTTACCGCGTCAGGAGCCAGATCTGCTTGGAGCAGCCAAGGGCGTCCAGGAGCTTTTGTCTCTCTGAAGTGATGCTGGAGGCGAGGTATTGCGCCCAGGTGAAGTTCCACTCGCTCTGACCTCCTGCAGCCACGGCGGTGCAGTACACGGTGCTCCTCAGGTTAGGGGATATGATGCTGCAGGGGTCACACAACAGTCAGGTAACACATTATACAGGGCAGAAAGACACGGCAGAGAGAGAGATTAGAGAAGGCGATTATGTCGGTTTCAGAATTTGCGAACAGTTAGGATAATTATTTTGTACAGTTGTGAACGCGCTTCGTTAGTCAGGGTTCGAATTAGTTGGACAAACCTCACCTCTGGTTATTGGGGTTGAACATCCACTGGTGGAAGAGTGTGAGAGAGCTGTCCACACAAGGCTTGTACTCCAGCTTGCACGCCCATGACACCGCCAGGGCCCTCTTGTACTGCGCCAGGTGCTCGTCCTTCAAGTCGTCCTCGAAGCCCGCCGACTCGTATAGAGGGACGACTAATTCAAGCAGATATTTCTGTTGAGGAAGAAGCTTAAGCTAAAGTAACTATGGGGAGAGAGCACTAAGCCCAATAATACTTAGAAGGGATGGGAGGACAAGGAGTTGGAATATGAGAAAGATGCCCAACCATTTGGACCATCGGGAATCGAACGCTGGCCTTGCAAGAAGCGAGGTCCTCGCTCTACCAACTAGCCCAAGTGGATGAGTAATATTGTCGATATTTCAAAATGCAGATGATTATATAATCATTTCATATCTAACCAAACACCAATGAACTCTTCAAGAAACTGTGTTTGATGTGAGAAAATCAGTAGGAGCCATAAGGAGGATTTGACTCTATACTCTGGGTACTCCCAAGCACACGCCTAGAGGTAGAATGTCTAGACTATAAGCCAGAGTGCATAGAGGGGGAGGGGGATGCAGTGTGTGAAATCCTGATTAGGCTTCAGTGTAAGCCTCGGGAACCCTAGAGGAGTCAGTAATCCCAGGTTGCATCAGGTTGTAATCCCAGGTTGGCTCTTACTAGAAGAGCCTTGTGGCTTACTAGAAGAGCCTTGTGGCTTACCAGAAGAGCCTTGTGGCTTACCAGAAGAGCCTTGTGGCTTACCAGAAGAGCCTTGTGGCTTACCAGAAGAGCCTTGTGGCTTACCAGAAGAGCCTTGTGGCTTACCAGAAGAGCCTTGTGGCTTACCAGAAGAGCCTTGTGGCTTACCAGAAGAGCCTTGTGGCTTACCAGAAGAGCCTTGTGGCTTACCAGAAGAGCCTTGTGGCTTACCTGGCCTGACCGGAGGCCGGTCGACGACCGGGCCGCGGGGACACTAAGCCCCGGAAGCACCTCAAGGAAGCACCTCAAGGTACTCAGAGACATCATACAAACCTACTTCCAAAGCACCTCTCCTCCCCCCTCACCCCTCCCCCCCTCCGTCCCCTGTCCTAAATCAAAAGGAATATTATATACTGAAATACACTTGAAATTGCCTTACCCTCAGAGCGCCGTAGTCAGCAGAGTGGGTGAACATGGCGTGCAGGTACTGGAGATTGTCCAGCGCTGAGGCCCAGGGCACGTAGTCCCTCTCCCTGGGCAGGTACCTGGTCACGCGAAGGGCAGTGTCGTAGGAGAGGTGACCTGCGGGTTACCCATAAGCCATACCGGTAAGGAACACCTTAATACCCTACAACGCCTTCGATATCCTTTCAAAGGGTTTAGCACGAGGAAAAGTGGATCTTTATGGCATGTCATGGTCCAGCGGGTTGAGGCGTGTGTCTGGGGAAGGGGAGGGAGGCTACCCAAGACTGCTTCGAAGATTATCTTCTAGATATGTCATAATATTTTGGGGATTTTATTTGATTATTTGGTCTAATATAACTCCCTCGATATTATTTTAAGGCACCGATTGATCTAATATCACAACCTCTTCGATATTCTATCAGAGTACTTTAGGCATATGAGAGTTTCAATATCACCTGGGAGGGTATCACCTGCTTGATACCACATCCTCGACATTATAATTATATAATATAATATATATATAAGTTCTATAGTTCTAAGTTCTATAGTTCTATAAGTTCTATAATATATATATAAATATATATATATATATAATATATATATATAAGTAATATATAACTTAAGTTCCTGAAGGAGCTGGGCGAGGAACTCATTGGGAAGACTAGAGACCCAAGAGCGGCCAGTTGTATGTTCCAGCGCCTCAGTGTCGCTGTTCAGAGGGGAAATGCGTGTTGTATCTTGGGTACGCACCCGACCCCCGAGGAACTGGACGAGGTCTTCGAACACTGATTGGTATATTGTTATATTGTTATATAAGTGTGTGTTTTCTGTAAACTGTAAGATTGCAATAAAATCAAATAAAAAAAAAAAAAAAAAAAAAAAATTATATATATATATATATATATATATATATATATATATATATATGTCGTACCTAATAGCCAGAACTCACTTCTCAGCCTACTATGCAAGGCCCGATTTGCCTAATAAGCCAAGTTTTCATGAATTCTTTGTTTTTCGACTACCTAACCTACCTAACCTAACCTAACCTAACTTTTTCGGCTACCTAACCTAACCTAACCTATAAAGATAAGTTAGGTTAGGTTAGGTAGGGTTGGTTAGGTTCTGTCTTATATCTACGTTAATTTTAACTCCAATAAAAATTTTTTTACCTCATACATAATGGAATGGGTAGCTTCATCATTTCATAAGAAAAAAATTAGAGAAAATATATTAATTCAGTAAAACTTGGCTTATTAGGCAATCGGGCCTTGCATAGTAGGCTGAGAAGTGCGTTCTGGCTTCTAGGTACGACATATATATATATATATATATATATATATATATATATATATATATATATATATATAATATAGTTACCATTCCAACATGTCAGTTACATACCTATGTCAATAAAAAGCAACATTGGATCAACTTGACTAAGACACTCACCAGCCCGGGCCAAGTCCAAGGCATCATCGATAATCTGGGCTCGATTCTGAGTATGGATGACCCGATGGTCGGTGAGAAGCTGCTCGATGATCAGGTCCCAGTTATGATCGTCGTAGTTGACCCTGAAGTACCCGGTCTGCTGCAGGTTGAAGATGACCCAGTGGCTGTGACCCGGCAGGGAGGAGAGGGTGACCTGTCCTTCAGTGTCGGCCATCCACGCCACGGGCTGGGTGACCTCGAAGTCCGGGTTGTCTCCGCCGGTGTAAGTCAAGGGCACCCACCACCTGTAATTATCACTCGCGCTCTCGTTCCTCCTGTTCCCCAGCAGGAAGCGCTCCTGCCAAATTTGGAAAGTGTTGATATATATATATTATATATATATATATATATATATATATATATATATATATATATATATATATCTATCTCAATGCACGGCAAGATATGATATATTCCCAATTTGCTATCCTACCCCATTGAGAGTAACGCATCCCAACGGGAGGACGATAGTTACAGGAGAGGGAGAACGAAGAGTCCTGTTTACAATCTGGAAGAGCCAGATGCTGCAGGATAAGCCTTCTATCCCAGCCTGCCTGATGTGGGTAAGTGTAGGGGAGGTGAATAAGCTGCGGTAATGATGAGGAGGTAAGCCAGTCCGATCATATAGCACCTGCAAGGGTTATGATTACAAGGATCTTTGATAAGAAGGAGGGAAGGAATGGCGCACAATCCCCTGCACCGTCGGGGATCGAACGACGACCCCGCAAGAAGCGAAAGTGAGACCAGGAGGATGAAGGAAGAAGGGGGAAAAAAAACAAGAAGATAAAGGATGCGAATGTGTAAATGGATGAGTGAAGCGGAGACCAGAATACTTGGGTGAGAGTGGCCAAGAGAAGATGGATGAGTGAAGCAGAGACCAGAATACCTGGGTGAGGGTGGCGACGGAGCCGTCACCGCTCCTGGCGACGTGGATGACGGGGTAGCCCATCTTGAGGGTCCAGGAGTCCATCACCACCTTCACTGTCGTCCCCTCTGGCAGGACCTGAGCGCCAAGGGCAGCCTCCGTCAGGTACTCCCACAGCTCGTCCTGGTCAGAGTTGGAGTACTGGCTGCAACAGGCCAGTAATTACCAGGTCAGCAATTTTACCCCCAACAGCGGGCACCCGGCGTTGCCCGGGTGCCCGCAGGTCACATCTATACACTACCTTCACCTCTGTAACTATCATCTGTACCCACTGCTCTAACCTGTCCTCTCTTATAATGAGAATGTCCTATAATGTCTTCTCTAACATCGCATTTTTTTTTACGTGAAAATCATAGCGCCTCTCTTAACAGTCACGTTTTCTATGCGTTGGTCATTCGGTTAGGTAAGGTAAGGTTAGGTAAGGTAAGGTCCAGGCAATTTAGTACATCATTTTCTAGCATAACATGAGAGGACGGACTGCTTCATCACTAACCATCTGTACTACAGAAAACCATCAACACTGCATCCATTTCTACAACACAGTATCTTTCTCACTGTAATGATATCAATTACAGCCACCATCACTGTAGCGATCGTTTCACAGTGTTCGTTCACTCGTACCCCCCCCCCCCCCCTAGCTCAGTGTTCCTGTACCCCTCCCAGGTGCTGTATGGTCTTACTGGCTTAGCTCTTCCTCTTGATAACTACCTTATCTCTCTTTGTACTACGTCTCTTGATAACTACCTCTTGATAACTACCACTCTTGATAACTACCACTCTTGATAACTACCACTCTTGATAACTACCACTCTTGATAACTCCCTTACCTCTATCCTTAACAAAATTGCTTGCCTTAATTTTAAGAATTTCAGCATTGACATTTCCTAGAGGAAAAAAATCCAAGAGGAAATGCAAAATAGAAATGAAAGAGCCAAAGAATAGGAAGCAAGGAAGAAAAGGGATACAACCGAAGGAGGAGGAGGAAGAGATGGAGGAGATAGTTACAATGCAGTGAGGTAGTTGGTGATGCCAGCTCTGAAGGTCCTCTCCGTCAGGAAATGAGACATCATGCGAATTAGCGAAGAACCTGCCAGAGGGAAGCATAGATGATGCGTTAAATTACAGATGGAGATTATATAGGATTACATAATATTATACAGGATTACGTTAGATTAATATAATTACATGGGATCGTATCCTGTATGATATTGCATAATATTATTCAGGGTTACGTTAGATTAATATATATACATAGGATCATATAGTAATCGTATAGGATTAAATATAATCACATAGGAGTATATATAGGATTGTATAGGAATACATATCATATAGGTGTATATAGGCATGCATAGGATTTACAGAAATGAGATCAAATGGTCTTTATCGAGGCTATATCTGTTTGGTGGGAATTTCTCGAGTTATCATGCAAAAGTGATTTAACACCTTTAGTCACTATGAATGGAAATGGCTCCAAGGAGCCTCCACATACGGGCTATTCATGCCCGTGCCACCTCTTGGGTGGTTTAATCTTCATCAATCAATATGAATTCCATTTATATGAATGGAAGTTCAAATTCTGAACTTCAAATTCAGATCAAAATCGCTAGGCCTAGGATTTCTTATTTAGGCCTAGAACAGGTCTAGGCCTGTCCTATATAGATAAAGATATAGATATAATATATAGGACACACGCATCTAAAGAGTGATGTACGATTTTTGCCGCTCAAGTACTTCGTTCTAAGGAGTAGAGAAGGATTTGAGTTGTTTCAAGTCCTTCATTTAGAAGAGTAAGGAAGGACTTAAGTCCGGGTGGTATTAAAGTAGATGTGTTAAAAAAAAAATCACGACCACAACTGGTCGAGGGACTCACTATGTGTGTGTGGACAATATTGGCTGACCGCAGGCTGTAATGGTCCGTGTATTGGATATTTGTCAGTCTCGCTGTTGGAAGCTGTGACTCCAGACCGGCTTCATTCACATCCGGCTTGTGCTGTAAACACTCTCTCTCTCTCTCTCTCTCTCTCTCTCTCTTTCTTTAAATGTCATATTTTGTATATTAATATATGCTACACAACATTCATTTTGTCTATTGGTTGCCAGATGTGTAAGTCTAATATTGACTTATTTACGTCCCCGATAGTCAATATTTGGACTATTGTCTAGGGGTGGAGGTTGGTTTAATATAGAAGGCTATTTCTCTGCACGACCATAGATGAAAGGTTAATTAATTGGCCTGTATAGGTGCCCATAGATACTAATTAATACTTACCTGGGTAGTAAGGTAACTTCCCCAAGAGGGAGTCCAGGGTAGGTAAGGTAACTTCCCCAGTAGGTTGTTAAAGATTCGCTACTTGGAACAAAAAGTTCCAAGTAGCACGGGCTATGGTGAGCCCGTAGTGTGTGTGTGTCCCCAGTAGGGTATACCTGGGTAGTTTGTTAATCTGAACGAGCCTTCCATACAGAATTTACACTCTGATCAATGGCAATGCTAAAACTGTAAGGAAACAAACACTACATTATGATAAATGTTTGATAAACATAGACACGACGCTAACTGCCTATCGATCGCTCCGGCTTGACAAACAGTGATAAGTCAACAGTGTATTGTGGCCAGTGAAAGTTATGAATCGTCTGACATTCTTTACATATATTTAAAAACGACAGTGATTTATACACTGTACGACGACGCTCTTCGTATGGGTGTGGTCTGGCCTCACCGCACCCAGCTGCGTCTGCGGAAGCGTTTTGGCAGCCCCATGCGGCTACCACGGCCGCATACCATGTTTATCAGAGGGCACCAAAACATGGAGTCAATAACATGCTCAAGAGCAGCGTGTCCATAAGGGGCCACCCCGGTACAAAGCTATACCCCATATAGATGTGGTTATCATCTATAACCAAACCACTTAACCAATATGTGGTTATCTTTGTCCAAAAATATTTATATAGTGGGGGTTGACATAAACGTGACCCCTACCCACTCTAATCCGAAGATTCACCTCATCGTGTACTAGAAGAGCAAATTGGCGGTTTTCTTGCTCATGAAGAACATTTTCGACACCAAACGGAACGTGTTTAAAGACACATTCCCCAACTGGAAGCTGTCAGCCCCAACGTTCTCAATATATAGGCAAGACAACAACATCTCCTGCAATATATTATATATATATTATATATATATTATATATATATATATTATATTATATTATATTATATTATATTATATATTATATATATAAATATATATATATATATATATATATATATATATATATATATATATATATATATATATATAATTATATTATATATATAATAATTACTTACCCTTGCGATAGGTAATCTTGTCGAAGATCTGGACGATGTCGTCTGGGTGCTCAACAGGGATGTGTATCGGGTGGGAACTCTCCAGACAGTCGATGGCGAACGAGTCTTGAACACTGTTGAAGACGAATTGGTCGAACACCTTCCAGGTGGGCTCCGCCTGCAGGTTAACAAGGAGCTTCAGGTAACATCTGGTGGCCACAAGTAAACAAAGACAAGTGACCTCTCGAGGCCACGGGAGAATAATTCACACCAACACTAATATTACTCATATTTTTAAAAGATCATCATGATATCGAAGTTAATATCCACGTAGTAGCGGATAATAATGAACAACCGGGATTATATTATGAACATTCCTGGCGGAGATAAAAGGAGAGGCTTGTTGATCTCAGCGATGTTCCGTGTTGTTCCTTCGTCTCTGTCTCATTAAAATTCTCGTCTCTCGCTGTGCCAGAGATCTGAACGATGACCTTTAGTCTCTCTCTCTCGTCCAGTCGTTGCCACTCCTTGTCGGCAGCAACAAAAACACCTCCACATTATACCCACTTTTTTATTTTTTTGCTCAAGGTAAGTACAAATTTACTTAATATTGGAGAAACTTTCTACAACGCCTACATCCTGTATACATTGTTCTGAACAAGATTGTAGGAGTTTGCGTTTATATGTCTGGCAGAGCGCCTCCCCTTGGCGTGTATCTTTAATGTTGTGATTGTGCTCCTCAGGAATGTCAAAGTTTCAGAAGAATGCACAATTATCCTGAAGAAGAACAATTGTTCAGAACCTTGTATACAGCACCTTGAGAAAGGATATAGGTTACATCCGAAAATTTGGTTTTTAATACACTGATACATATATTGGGTCTTTCCTTCAATTTCATTGAAATAATATTAATTTAGATACAGCATTGGCATTTTTAAAAGAATCCACAGTTAAATTTCTACCATACGCATCAGCGGGTTTACTTTAAAAAGAAACTTCCTTGAGGTGAATGATTCGTCATTTTCATCCCGTTCCTTCCAAGTAACAAGCGTTCGCACCTCCTCCAGCCCGTCTAGCTTAAGGCTCCGAATTCTCATTGGTCTAAAACTTATACGTACGCATATGTCTGCGTTCGATTCGTATGGTTATACCCACCTGGTCAAGCGCACAATTACCCACCTGGTGGAGCTCAACACCACCCACCTGGTCGATCATAGCATCACCCACCTGGTCGACCGCAAGGTACTGCATGAAGGTGGCGAATCCCTCGTTGAGCCAGAGTCCGGTCCACGACTTGGGCGTGACCAGGTTACCGAACCACTGGTGAGCGACTTCGTGGGCGACTATGGTGCCTATGTACTGTTTGTCTCTGGCCGAGGACACCCCTTCCTCGTAGAGCAACGCGGCCTCCCTGACCCAAGACACGGAATCAACAATTATCTTACTGTCTTAATTGAAGAAATTAGCAATAAATCCTTCTGATATTCATAACTTCGAGAAGTATTTCGGCCTTCTCTACTCCTATGTGATTATATTTGTTCCTATGATATCTCTACATTGCAATGTAGAGAAAGTAGAGGCCTCTTGCAAGCCTGCATCACATCAGAGATACACATATATACACAGACGATGAGTCACAATGACGTGGCTGACTATATGACCAAACCACACATCAGAAGATGGAGAAACGATGACGTTTCGGTCCGTCCAAGACCAGTGTCGTCTAGTCACCCGACTTGATAATGGTCCAAAACGGACCGAAATGTCGTTGTTTCTCCATTTTCTGATATGTAGTTCGGTCATCATACACACATATATATACATAGACAGAGTCATAGAGATACAGGAAGCTAGTGTTGATAAAAAGAAACTAGCCCTGAGTATCTGTTAGATTTGCTCAAGGATTTACAAGGTAAATTATTTTAAACCATTATTTAAAAATTTTACCATTATTATTTACCATTATTTAAACATTATTTAAAAACCTACTCTTTTTCATCTTTGTGCTTCTCTAACTAACAGAACATTGATATATAAATATAACTATCTGATAAAGGTTTCACATAATCACTAGTTGATAGGGACTTTATATTATTAAATGCAAACAAAAATTACAACAAATTCAATTGGACTTTGATAACAAAATTAACCGCGAATTTTAGTATAAGAATAATGCTAGCCTGAGGAATTTTCTGTCACTGAAAGAGAAGAAAGAGATATGAGACAGAAATATAGACAGATGGAAATACGGCAGAGACAGGGATTTGGCAGAAACAGAGATATGACAGAGACCGATAGAAACATATATGGTAGAGACAGACATACATAGAGATCCCAAAATGAATACAAAATGAAATAAAGTCAGCAACAAGTAGGGATGGACAAAGAGAGACAGAATAAGCCTGGATTTAGAGAGATAGACAGATTTAGATTTATACAGAGACAGATTTAGACAGAGAGAGAGACACACACACACACGCGCTCCCTACCCGTAGAGGATGAGGCCCCAGTTCTCCATACCCCCAAAGTTCTCGGGGAGAGCGATGGCGTCCATCTGAGGCAAGGGATACGCCAAGTCGAAATAGCGCTCGTAGAAGCCCAGCATCTTCTGCCCCAGCTCGAGGGAGTAGTGGGCGTGCTCAATGGCCTCCTGACGAGCCCACACTCAGGTCGGGCAGGTGAAATTATAATTAGATTCGTGTGAAGGTTGTGAGAGACGGTGGTGATGGCCGTCAATCGGGGTGGTGGGGAAGGGGGGAGGTAATTGAACAGGAAGTAATTTAAGTTTGTAACTTGCGTTGACACCACTCAAAGTTGATGGATTCGTGGACCGTACCCCCTGGCAACGCAATGTTCGTGACCTGTCACTACTCTTCCAACATTGACAGCTAACACACACAGTCATTCGTTATTAGTAAATCTTATGAGTGTCTCACAAGAACCGCACTGCCAACTTCAGAATTTTGACAACACTCTCCTTAAGCACAGTGTCACCACTCACTCCTGCCAACCTCGAGTCAGACCAACCGCTGACATCACAGATATAAATACCTGCCATCATTCACCCTTGCCAACACCTACCCCTACAACACCCACCCCTGTCAAAACTCTCATCCCTGTCAACTCCCACCCCTGCCAACCCCGAGTCAGACCAACCACAGACAACACAGACACCAAGGAGGTGCCAACACTTACCTCTGAGCAGAACCCTGTCGTCGTAGGTGGCTTTGATGTGTGTGAAGTTAGAGACAGCAAAGGTGACGAGGTATGTGGACATGGGCACGCTGGGAGGGTAGTGGTCCCATACCCACCCGGGCTGCCCCTCCCTGGCCAACCACAGACATACTTAAATACATCGCACCAATAGTGTCCTAAAGAATATCTTAGACATAAGAATTTAGTCTTTAAGGAATTCCTTTTGAATTATAAAAAATATGTTTTTGTCATTCATTTCCTGTATTACAACTACTTTAATATCCACTAGATGACTGAAATCCTGAAGGATTTCACCCACCTGGATGAAATTATATTATTATAATATAAATAATATATAATATATTATATGTTATATATTTATAATTATGACTGCATTTAAGTCTTAATTAATTTTGAAATGATAACTGCGCTTTACTTTTATTAATTATGTCTTATATTAGTAAGTAAATATTCTTAGTGAAAAAACAAATATATATATATATATATATATATATATATATATATATATATATATATATATATATATATATATATATATATATATATATATATATATATGCAATTGACGATCACTAAGCACTGATCATTTGTATGCGGAAAATCCACAAATCTCTTTTCCATTCTCTGTGGATTTTCCGCGCACACACACAAATATATATAATAATGTCGTACCTAGTAGCCAGAACGCACTTCTCGGCCTACTATTCAAGGCCCGATTTGCCTAATAAGCCAAGTTTTCCTGAATTAATATATTTTCTCTATTTTTTTTCTTATGATATGATAAAGCTACCCATTTCATTATGTATGAGGTCAATTTTTTTTTATTGGAGTTAAAATTAACGTAGATATATGACCAAACCTAACCAACCCTACCTAAACTATCTTTATAGGTTAGGTTAGGTTAGGTAGCCGAAAAAGTTAGGTTAGGTTTGGTAGGTTAGGTAGTCGAAAAACAATTAATTCATGAAAACTTGGCTTATTAGGCAAATTTGGCCTTGCATAGTAGGCTGAGAAGTGCGTTCTGGCTACTAGGTACGACAATAATATATATATATATATATATATATATATATATGTCGTACCTAGTAGCCAGAACTCACTTCTCAGCCTACTATGCAAGGCCAAATTTGCCTAGTAAGCCAAGTTTTCATGAATTAATTGTTTTTCGACTACCTAACCTACCTAACCTAACCTAACCTAACTTTTTCGGCTACCTAACCAAACCTAACCTATAAAGATAGGTTAGGTTAGGTTAGGTAGGGTTGGTTAGGTTCGGTCATATATCTACGTTAATTTTAACTCCAATAAAAAAAAATTGACCTCATACATAATGAAATGGGTAGCTTTATCATTTCATAAGAAAAAAATTAGAAAAAATATATTAATTCAGGAAAATTTGGCATATTAGGCAAATCGGGCCTTGAATTGTAGGCCAAAAAGTGAGTTCTGGCTACTAGGTACGACATATATATATATATATATATATATATATATATATATATATGTCGTACCTAATAGCCAGAACGCACTTCTCAGCCTACTATTCAAGGCCCGATTTGCCTAATAAGCCAAGTTTTCATGAATTAATGTTTTTTCGTCTACCTAACCTACCTAACCTAACCTAACCTAGCTTTTTTGGCTACCTAACATAACCTTACCTATAAATATAGGTTAGGTTAGGTTAGGTAGGGTTGGTTAGGTTCGGTCATATATCTACGTTAATTTTAACTCCAATAAAAAAAATTGACCTCATACATAGAGAAAAGGGTTGCTTTATCCTTTCATAAGAAAAAAATTATAGTAAATATATTAATTCAGGAAAACTTGGCTTATTAGGCAAATCGGGCCTTGAATAGTAGGCTGAGAAGTGAGTTCTGGCTACTAGGTACGACATATATATATATATATATATATATATATATATATATATATATATATATATATATATATATATATATATATATATATATATAATGATAGACTTTGAAAACTGACATTCTGACACCTTATTCAATCCAGCAAAATCGGCAATGATTATTTTTTTGGGGGTAAATCACTGTTATAAAACTCTTCAATCTTGATACAAAAAAGTACAGTAGATATTGACAATGTTTACGTACTATGCTCTAATTGTGACTTTTTTGCAATGACAGAAAAGCCCGGTAATTTTGTAACGTAATTTGTAACTGTAATGTACTGTAATTTTATGTAAACAATCCCAGTTATAAATATACAACATCAATAATTAAGGGGTGTTGATTTGACTGATTACTATAGTTAGTCATGGTAAGTACATAAATGTCTCAACTATACTATCCACTCCCAAGTTTCTCCGAACAGCGAAGGAGGCGTCCTTACATGGGCAGGGACTCCAGCAACGGCATGTTGGAGAGGGAGGTCATGTGCTCCTCCCTCGCCAGGTAGACCTCGAAGGTAGACTTGAGTCCCGGCTCGTCGAAGCACGGGAAGGCCCTTCTCGCTCCTGTAGGCTGGAACATAGTCGCTGCCATCCACCTATACAGTTAGACCTTATTAGGATAGAGATGGGAGTGATTTTTGAGGTCGGTTGGTAGTTTGGGATAGTTTTAAAGCTAAGTCACCATGACTGAGGGAAGATGTATAGGTTTCGTAAGTGGGTACAAAAATGATTGATGATTCCTGAAAAAAAAATGTAAATTCAAAAGTTATTGTTACTTTGGTGATTGAAGTTGATTAGCTCTCAAGTCCATGCTGGCAAAGTGAATGTGTGTGTCTTTGCCATACGCTGTTGCCATCTAGCGTTGCCACTAGGTGTGTCTTCGTCAGTTATTTTCGTGAAATAAAGGCAATATCAACATATTACTGCCATGCACCTTTGCAGTAACTATTATTTTTTTTACAATCATATTCTTATCTTCAGATATGTGTAGCTGCCACACATACTCCATCGCTAACTACCGCAGCCCTCTAACTGTTGCTATGCTACCACTAATTGTTGCCATAATCCCTCAAATCGTTGATATGATACCTCTAATTGTTATCATAATCCTTACAGTTGTTTATATAATCCCTCTAATTATTTACAATAATCCCCTCTAATGGCTGCCATTAGAGGGGATTAACGCTAATGATTCCTTCTAACGCTTGCCACAATTCCTCACATTGTCGTCATAATCCCTTTAATTCTTGCCATAATCTCTCTAATTGCTGCATTAATTCTTCTAATTATTGCCATAGTCCCTTCTAATCGCTACCGCATCAAGCCCTTACCCACTACATAACTGATACCTACCTACATATACACCCAACTTACCCTACCTTACCCCACATCTGCATACCCAACCTACCCTATCCTACCCAACCTACCTATTAGTGCCATCGGCGTCTTGGTAGTTGGACTTGAAGAAGCCTTTGCGTTGAGCGTTGAGGTGGCCGAGGAAGGCCATGGAGAGGACGTACTTCTTGCCGACCTCCAGGGGCTCGGCCAGGCTGGCTACGTAGAACTGTCGCACTGGGTCGTACGTGTGACGGAGGATGACAGGACCCCGTCTCAGGGGGTCGTCGCTTGACATAACCTGACGAGACGTGGATTGATGAGAGATACAGGGAAAGACAGGTAGACAGAATAAAGCAAAGTGAGAAAGAAATAGACAGAAATGTAGTGGAAAGGTGTATATTACATATATATATATATATATATATATATATATATATATATATATATATATATATATATATATATATATATATATATATATGTGTATATATATATATATATATATATATATATATATGTGTATATATATATATATATATATATACACATATATATATATATATATATATATATATATATATATATATATATATGTCGTACCTAATAGCCAGAACGCACTTCTCAGCCTACTATGCAAGGCCCGATTTGCCTAATAAGCCAAGTTTTCATGATTTAATATATTTTCTCTAATTTTTTGCTTATGAAATGATAAAGTTACCCATTTCCTTATGTATGAGGTCATTTTTTTTTATTGGAGTTAAAATTGATGTAGATATATGACCAAACCTAACCAACCCTACCTAACCTAACCTAACCTATCTTTATAGGTTAGGTTAGGTTAGGTAGCCGAAAAAGTTAGGTTAGGTTAGGTAGGTTAGGTAGTCGAAAAACAATTAATTCATGAAAACAAGGCTTATTAGGCAAATTGGGCCTTGCATAGTAGGCTGAAAAGTGCGTTCTGGCTACTAGGTACGACAATAATATATATATATATATATATATATATATATATATATATATATATATATATATATATATATATATATATATGTCGTACCTAGTAGCCAGAACGCACTTGTCAGCCTACTATGCAAGGCCCGATTTGCCTAATAAGCCAAGTTTTCATGAATTAATTGTTTTTCGACTACCTAACCTACCTAACCTAACCTAACCTAACTTTTTCGGCTACCTAACCTAACCTAACCTATAAAGATAGGTTAGGTTAGGTTAGGTAGGGTTGGTTAGGTTCGGTCATATATCTACGTTAATTTTAACTCCAATAAAAAAAATCGACCTCATACATAATGAAATGGGAAGCTTTATCATTTCATAAGAAAAAAATTAGAGAAAATATATTACTTCAGGAAAACTTGGCTTATTAGGCAAATCGGGCCTTGCATAGTAGGCTGACAAGTGCGTTCTGGCTACTAGGTACGACATATATATATATATATATATATATATATATATATATATATATATATATATATATATATATATATATATATATATATATATATATATATATATATATTATATATATATATATATATTTACAGATTAAAATATGAGAGAGGAAATTGTACAGAAATTTGTTTTTATCATATTAGATATGCCAGTGGTTTAGCGTGTGCTTATTGAGCCGAGTACCTACTCTAACAGTGTCATTCTTGGTGACGATGTTGTGGATGTGCAGAGTGATGTTGGAGGTGGCCTCGAGCACCTCCATCTCCACCTCCACGTAACCTCTGATGCTAAAGTCGCCGTTAATGAAGGGCTGAAGTTTGACCAAATACCGTAGAGGCTTCAGGGCTCTCGGCAGCCTCACGTCCGGCCTCCTCTTGCGTGCTGTGGGTTCCGTGGTAGGTTCCGCTGCGTCCTTATGGGAGGTCTTGGACGGGTCGCTGTGGACACCGGTGTCCGTGTCCATACGTAAAGTCGTGCTGGTCGTGGCTGCTGGAGAAGGCACGGCTCGAGATGCATTCTGAAATACCATCTCGGTCCTGATCATGGGTCCAGGGATATTTTGAACGGGCTGCGAATAGGATAGAATGTCAAATTAAGAGTGTGAGGCAGACTGTTATTGTGATTCGGATATTACGGTCAAAAGAACACTGGTATATATACCTGTTTTCCAGTCAACAACAGCTTTAGCACAACCATCAAAAGATGCCTGAAAACAGACTCTCGCCAAATATGTTACGAACCAGGTGTTTACCTGATTTCTCACTATGTCAATGTATGCATAATTACACATTCATCACACCTCATTTTGTTATACATTATAAAATTACCATATACTGTTTTCAGTGCATAAGAAATATATATTATATTATATTCATGTTGTTGGGTGTGTTACAGTTATGACACTGTATTGCAGTATTGTATTCTGTTGTATGAGTTGGTCAGTGGTGCGGGTGTCGAGTGAACACGTATTATACGGGAGCGGGACGCGAACGGTGGTGTGGGGGCCGTTGTTACCAGTTCTGCATTGTCATTAACTATTATTTTTCCTTATGAGAAGCTTAACATTTTGAGATGTTGCTCCTGACTGTCTTAAGTTAGTATATAATTGTGTTAAGAAGTGTTTGGGAGTGATTATCTCAACGTGGAAGTGTGTGGTTGTTGAGCTGTGTGTTGTCAGTCGTGCCTGGTGATAGTGAGCCCGGCTGCTCTTGGTGATAGTGAGCCCTGCCGCTCTTAGTGATAGTGAGCCCGGCCGCTCGTGGTGATAGTGAGCCCGGCCGCTCGTGGTGATAGTGAGCCCGGCCGCTCGTGGTGATAGTGAGCCCGGCCGCTCTTAGTGATAGTGAGCCCGGCCGCTCGTGGTGATAGTGAGCCCTGCCGCTCTTAGTGATAGTGAGCCCTGCCGCTCTTAGTGATAGTGAGCCCGGCCGCTCGTCGTGATAGTGAGCCCGGCCGCTCGTGGTGATAGTGAGCCCGGCCGCTCGTGGTGATAGTGAGCCCGGCCGCTCCTGGTGATAGTGAGCCCGGCCGCTCCTGGTGATAGTGAGCCCGGCCGCTCCTGGTGATAGTGAGCCCGGCCGCTCTTTGTGATAGTGAGCCCGGCCGCTCTTAGTGATAGTGAGCCCGGCCGCTCTTAGTGATAGTGAGCCCGGCCGCTCTTAGTGATAGTGAGCCCGGCCGCTCTTAGTGATAGTGAGCCCGGCCGCTCTTAGTGATAGTGAGCCCAGCCGCTCCTGGTGATAGTGAGCCCGGCCGCTCCTAGTGATAGTGAGCCCGGCCGCTCCTGGTGATAGTGACCCTGGCCGCTCCTGGTGATAGTGAACCAACCGCTCCTGGTGATAGTGACCCTGGCCGCTCCTGGTGATAGTGAGCCTGGCCGCTCCTGGTGATAGTGAGCCTGGCCGCTCCTGGTGATAGTGAACCAACCGCTCCTGGTGATAGTGAGCCCAGCCGCTCCTGGTGATAGTGACCCTGGCCGCTCCTGGTGATAGTGAGCCTGGCCGCTCCTGGTGATAGTGAGCCTGGCCGCTCCTGGTGATAGTGACCCTGGCCGCTCCTGGTGATAGTGACCCTGGCCGCTCCTGGTGATAGTGAGCCTGGCCGCTCCTGGTGATAGTGACCCTGGCCGCTCCTGGTGATAGTGAGCCTGGCCGCTCCTGGTGATAGTGAGCCTGGCCGCTCCTGGTGATAGTGACCCTGGCCGCTCCTGGTGATAGTGAGCCTGGCCGCTCCTGGTGATAGTGAGCCTGGCCGCTCCTGGTGATAGTGAACCAACCGCTCCTGGTGATAGTGAGCCTGGCCGCTCCTGGTGATAGTGAGCCTGGCCGCTCCTGGTGATAGTGACCCTGGCCGCTCCTGGTGATAGTGACCCTGGCCGCTCCTGGTGATAGTGAACCAACCGCTCCTGGTGATAGTGAGCCCAGCCGCTCCTGGCTGCCATTGAGGGCGAGCAGATCGTCAGTTACAGACTGGGTATGGGGGGGGGGTCCTAGGGTGACGGGGCGTGTGTGTGAGTAAGTGGAAGAGGACACACACTGGAAGAGTGTGTACCCGCCAAACACACACCGAAACTACGACGTTGGTACAACGTTCGAACAAGTTTTAACACTTCCTAACCTGTTATAACAACCAATATAGCAAGTTGTAACAACGTTCTAATACGTCATAAACACGTTACGCCAAGATGTAACAACTTTATTACAAGTTGTAACAAGCGGAAAATAGAGACAGTTTCGGTTTGTGTTTCCAGGGTACTCACTGGAGGGCGGGCGGTGATCTTAGCGGAGGGCCGCGTGGAGTACCTGACGCTGGGAGCGAAGTAGTAGACGAGGAGGCCCGTGGCCACCAACACGCTGACGAAGACCATCGCCAGCATCACCCCCACGGGCTTGGTGACGTAGCACCCGCCCTTCCTGCCGAAGGTCACTGTGCTGGCTTGGTGGTCCACGTCCAGAGGCTCGGGGGAGGCTTCCGCGCCCATTGTGGCTCCCAGGTACTGGTGGCTCCCAGGTACTTGTGGCTCCCAGGTACTGGTGGCTCCCAGGTACTTAAAATGAGGTAGATCCTCCTGGTCTGTCTGGCAGTTTGATTCTCAGTTAAGCAATCCAGAGTTCTGTGAAACAGAATTTGAAATGGTCATGACAGATATAGATTATATTATATATATATATATATATATATATATATATATATATATATATATATATATATATATATATATATATATATATATATATATATATATATATATATATATATGTATATGTGCAATTGACGATCACTAAACACTGATCATTTGTATGCGAAAAATCCACAGAGAAATGGGAAAGAGCGATGAATGTTTCAGCCGATCTGGGCCTTTGTCAACACTGAACTGAAATATTACTAAATCACAAAGAGAGAGTCAAGAAAGAGAAAGAGACTTTCTTTGTGATTTCTTTCAGTCCGATGTTGGCAAAGGCCCAGATCGGCCGAAACATTCATCTCTCTTTCCCATTTCTCTGAGGATTTTTCGCATACAAATGATCAGTGTTTAGTGATCGTCAATTGCACATATATATATATATATATATATATGTGTGTGTGTGTGTGTGTGTGTGTGTGTACATACACATATATATGTGTACATACAAAAGAATGAGGGTGGTAGGAGAGGATAATATTAGTGTTCAGTGAGAAACCACAAGGTCTCCTCTGAATACTTTTTATTTTCTTCTCCGAGGCTATGGGTCCCCACATTGGCACCAGAGGTGGTACCCTCACAAACTTTATATATATATATATATATATATATATATATATATATATATATATATATATATATATATATATATATATATATATATATATATATATATATATATATATATATATATATATATAATTATTAAATATCACCGAAAAAGTAAGATTAATAATTCTAAACACGAATTTTCTCAATATTTCATGTTTCTTTTCACTGTCGATGGTAATTGAAAAATCAATTCTCCAAAATTCATTTTTATTTGTAGTCTGACGCGACACTTGAACGCGTTTCGTAATAACTTATTACATTTTCAAAGACTTTAGTTTACACACACACAACTATAACCTGCAAACACTACACAGAGTTCTGCTATGCTATAATTTAAACGGCTTTCATCTTATATACCTGCATTTGGGTGAGGTGATATGTTCCAACAGTTTTGGAAGAGGTGAAAACAAACTTTCAACACAAGACAGAACAAGACGGATTGTTTCATCCAAAGCTACGTTGGTACCTGTGGATACCAACCTACCTGTGGATGAAACAATCGGAATGATAGCGGACAGAGTGTATCGTGATCCAGCCTGTACTTCTCTTGACATACCAGAAAACATTCTAAGGAAACTACTCCAAGCTTGTACTAAAGAGGCACCTTTCTTGAGCCCGGCTGGGCACATGTATAAGCAAGTAGATGGGGTCGCCATGGGTTCTCCCCTAGGTGTCCTGTTTGCGAACTTCTACATGGGTACCATCGAACAAAAGGTCTTAGTCGACATGAACTTGAAACCGGCCATATACTGCAGGTATGTTGACGACATTTTTACACAGGTACCTGATGTCAGACATCTGCAGGAGCTGAAGGAGGTATTTGAGCGGAATTCTGTGTTGCATTTCACTTACGATTTGGAGAAGGATGGGAAGCTGCCCTTTCTAGATGAAACAGTCATGGAAAGGAGCGGAGGTTTCCACACTGCAGTCTACACTAAGGAAACAAACATAGGAATGTGCCTCAATGCCAACAGTGATTGCCCAGACAGGTACAAGAGGAGTGTTGTTAACGCTTATGTCGACCGTGCTCTCAGCCACAGCTCAGGATGGAAGCAAGTCGATGAAGGGTAAGGCAGGTCCTAGTCAACAACGGCTTCTCCAATGGTTTCGTTGAAGACATAAGAAGGAAGGTGAAACGCCATGCAACCTCTGAAGAGTCCACTAACACAACACATGTACCCCCTATTAGACTATTTTACAGGAACTTCTTTTCCACAGCTCATAAAACAGAGGAAAGGGTCCCGAAAGATATTGTTGATAAGAACGTTATCCCTACAGACAAAAATCAGAGGATACAACTGACGATTTACTATAAACCCAAAAAAACGGCCAACTTACTCATGAGAAACTCTCCAGACACAAAGCAGAACGCTTTAAAAGAGACCAACGTCGTCTTTGCCTTCAAATGCCCACTTGGGGACTGTAAGTCTCAAAGAACTCAGTATTATAGGCAAGACAACAACATCTCTTTCCAGACGATTAACGATGCATAAGCAACAGGGCTCCATCAAGGAACATAAAATCTCTTCTCACAACCAGACCATCACCAGAGAAATCTTAACAAACAACACAGAAATCATCAATAGATACAGCGATAGCAGGCGGCTTGATATCTGTGAGGCACTACACATCAAGAAGTCAACACCAGCAATCAACAGCCAATTAATGCACAACTATATTCTACCCACCTCAAGACTCCGCACCAATATAGAAGCATCAAGAAATATGGGCCAATAGGCCCTTTGCAGTTACTTCCATCCTTCCCTTTAATTTACCCAATTTATGCCCATTGTTTCGTGTTCTGTCTTGTGTTGAAAGTTTTGTTTACCTCATCCAAAACTGTTGTATCATATCACCTCACCCAAATGCAGGTATATAAGATGAAAGCCGTTTAAATTATAGCATAGTAGAACTCTGTGTAGTGTTTGCAGGTTATAGTTGTGTGTGTGTAAACTAAAGTCTTTGAAAATGTAATAAGTTATTACGAAACGCGTTCAAGTGTCGCGTCAGACTACAAATAAAAATGAATTTTGGAGAATTGGTTTTTCAATTACCATCGACAGTGAAAAAAACATAAGAAATATTGAAAAAATTCGTGTTAGAATTATTAATCTTACATTTTCGGTCATATTTAATAATACGTTTACAAGAAAGACTGCTACCAAAATATACTAATGTATTATATATAATATTATATATTATATATATATAATAAACTGAAAACTCCACACCCCAGAGGGATTTGACCCCAGACAGCCAGGAGATCAATGCACCACGGCGTACCCGCTTCTTTAAGCACTCTACCAACCGTGACTGTACAAAAGACGTTGGTAGCCGAGGCTATTTCCCCATCATCCCGACTGCACTTGGTGGTAAGCTTGGGCGTAGATATTTTATCGAATCACCTCACTTTGTGCTGCTTACGTGGCCCCACAAAGTGAAGTGTTTCGATGAAATATCTATGCCCAAACTTACCACCAAGTGCTGTCGGGATGTTGGGGAAATAGCCTCAGCTACCAACGTCTTTTGTATAGTCACTATTGGTCGAGTGGATAAAGAACCGGGTATGCCGTGGTGCATTGAGCTCCTGGCTGTCTGGGTTCGAATCCCTCTGGGGTGCAGAGTTTTCAGTTGCATATATGCTTATGCTTGGGGACCATTCGAGCTTGTTCGCATATATATATATATATATATATATATATATATATATATATATATATATATATATATATATATATGTGTGTGTGTGTGTGATCTTTGATGGAGTGTTGTTGTTTATGCATTGACAGGCGTCTTGATGTTGTTGTCCTGCCTATACACTGAGAGTAAAAGGAGCTGACGGTGCCTAAGTGGCCATGAAAAGACATACACAACAGATTTCTTTCAAGGCAATTGATTCCTAGGTTGACTCAATTCTGAAACTTGTTCGCACAAGTTGATATGCATGAAATTAGGTTAACCGACCACATAAAGGCTCTGATACACAGTTGGTTTATGGCTTATTCTGTTCCTTGTACGAAAATTACTTAAAATTGGTATATTCCAAATGGTCACAAACAATCTCTTGATATAAATGAGTCTCAGGAAGCAGGCTTCAGATACGCTGATGGAGGATAACCTCTCTTGCTTCCGAGAGAGAGAGAGATACTCTCCCGTCTCTCAATTATATCTCGCCTGTCTCTTTCACTTACACACACACACACATATATATATATATATATATATATATATATATATATATATATATATATATATATATATATATATATATATATATATATATATGGTTATGACCGCATTCGTTGAAAGTTTTACTAAATAACCGGTCCACTGACTGATTGGCTAGATGATTGTCTGTCTGACTGACTGCATAAATAACTGACTGGTATCCTGATTGGTTGACTGACAACATGACCACGTTGCTGGTGTTGTTGATCTTAGAGTATAAGATCAACAACAACGACTGACCTAAAATCCACAAGGAACTGAACAGAAGCCGTCAAGTATTAATAAACAACGGCTACACGAACAGAGAAGTCAACATCCACATCAGAAGATCTATAGAAAAGTGGTATAACAGAACAACCGCAACCGCAAACAACCCCTCCCATAAAACTATTACAAATCCACTAATGAGCTCACAATACAAAACTGAAGAAAGAATAATTACAAACAATTTCAAATGGAGTGAAACCGACAGCCCGAGACCAACGATTGGAAGTCATTATTACATAACAAAGAGGACTGATGATTTAATGCTTAAGAACAGCCCCAATGAAGTGTACAACGCTCTCCATAAAGCACACGCGGTGTACCAATTAACATGCCCCAGTGAAGGATGACACCTTCGATCTACTTATATTGGCATGACTATCACAAAACTTGACCTGTCATCTACAAGCTGGTGCCCCTATAAACCATGTACAAAGTGTACATAACACAACACGCACTAGGAACATGCTAGTAGATAATCCAAAACGCCTGGCATCCACCACTGACCAAACAGAAGGCTGCAAATACTGGAAGCTATACACTTAAAAGAAAAAAAGACCCGCCCTAAATATACAGAGTAACGACTTCAATACCTTACCTACACTCAGACCCAGACCTCACCACACAGCACCTTGCCTACACTCAGACCCAGCCCTCACCACACAGCACCGTGCCTACACTCAGACCCAGACCTCACCATACAGCACCTTGCCTACACTCAGACCCAGACCTCACCACACACTTTCACGTCTCTCACATGTGTATTTAACAAAATATTTGCACCTTGTATATTCATTCCTTACCTGAAGCTGTTCCAGAGTGGAACG